CATTATCACCTGTAGTAAGAATTTTAGAACGTTTTGAGATCGAATGAAAAGATCTGTTCCGAAAGACAGTTGAATGTCATTTGGTTCAGATTTTCAAAATTCTTTTTTACTTCATTGGTGTGTAAATCCAGAACTTTTGTAGGTTCATTAGCACCAACTGTAAGATTTTTAGAACGTGTTGATAGATCAATTGGAAAGATCTGTTTCGATAGACAGTTGAACGTCATTTGGTTCTGATTTTCAAATATCTTTTTTTCTTCATCGGCGCATAAATCCAGAACTTCTGTAGGTTCATTAGCACCTGCAGTAAATCTACTAGAACGTTTTGATAGATTAATAGGAAAATTCTGTTCTGAAAGACAGTCGTTCCAAATATTTTTCTTTGTCATATTTGAATTTTGAAAAAAATTATCACACTCAAATGGCGATGTTCTTCAACAGAATAATAGCAGATTATCTGTAAAATGATGCCTCACCAATTGGTGCAATTATTTTCAGATTGAAATATCGAGTGTCGTTCAAGCAGCAAATTCAATCTGTATAACCCACCTGTAGATCAAACTGAAAGTTAAAATTTAATCAAAAAACTCTAAAATTCCAAATTGTTTAGAATTAATTAATAATTCACTTACTAAGTTTGGTGGAAGCACATAAATCTTGTTTTTCAGGTGTTAAGCGTTTCTTGAGTTCAAAACTGTTAAAAATTAAAATTGATTCAACTGTTCCAAATAAAAAACTTTTTGTAGTGAGAAAATAGAAAAATTGATTAGATAAATAGGGTTAAACTAATTCGCTGACTTACGGTAGGCTGACTTGTCTGACTTGCATGCGATAATAAACACAATTTTCTTAATTTAATCAAAACAAATTGTTTTAATATAATTTATATATTATTTATAATATATATTTGAACGTAAATTGCATTAAAATAATGTGGCACATTGCAACAATATCACAAAATATATAGTGGTTGATTTGAGATCTTATTTAACGTACTCAGTATTTGACTGACTTTTTTCTTAATTTCTTCAAAACAAATTGTTATAATATAATTGTTTTTAATTGAAGTGAGCGGAAATTTGTTTCCAATTTCCTCCCATTTTTTTCTCATTCATGATTCCCTCCTGAATTCCCATTTATGACAGCGTTCCCGAAAATTCCCATTCCTTATTTTTAACTCACTCCCGCGTTTTCCCTCCTATTTCCTCCCGTTTTCCATTTTTCACATTTTCAAAATTTTTGAACTCAAAAAACGCAAATTTTTCTTATACAGATTTACAAACACGTCTTCATTACCAAATAAGGTAAAAGTTCAAAATAATTTATTAGTGTCATGAAACAAAAGTATTTTAGTTTAAATCATAGTTAAAAATTGTGACGTACAATTTTTGTTTTTAAATGCTTTTCAAAAATTTTAATATTTAAATTAAACCTTTGTTTGAAATAGTGCACTGCATTAATTAACAAACATATAAAAATAAATAAATAAATTATATTTCAAATGTTTCAAATACAATTAGTCATTTGAGTAATAAAAATAAGCATAATCCCATCGCATAATCATAAGGACAATTGTTATATAACATCAATGTTTGTTAAAATTCTTATTTACACAAACAAATAATTAAATGTAAAAAGACACAAAAAAGGCAAAAAGACTTGCTTTTATTTTCTTTTAATAATAGCATAGAACGGTTGAAGCAGTTAAAGACATATCGAATATATTGCAAAATTCATTACCTAATTTAACTTAACTAATTTCATTGTAGTTTAATGCAACTCGACAAACAAAACTCCGAAGACAAACTGCCATCATCAGTGTAGTTATATATATATATACATATATATAAATATATGTATATTACATACAATTATTTATAAAGATCACTGCGTTTTCGGCATTATTCAACTTGTAGTTGAGTTTCTCAATTTTTCTAACGAAACTTTTATCATCTTGATGAAGTTTATTAAGGTTAAATAAATACTTTTAATATTTGACATTTCTGACAAAACATTATTAATAACGTTATTACTACAGAAAAGCTCTTTTCTGCATCAACTGCCATCATCATTCTAATTAAGTTACAATCAAAGTCGCTGTAAAAACAAAGACAAAAAGACGGAACAATACTATATATGTTGGTAATAGACCATAATTATTACAATATTCTATAAATTCTACCGAATGTTGGGCTTTAGTATGTTTGTAGTTTGTTTTTTTGATTTTTCTCACTAAAATTTTTTGGCGAACCTATGGAGAAATTATGGTCTATTACCAAAATATATATATATATGTTGGTAATATATATATATATATATATACATATATATATATATATTTCAAAAAATCAACATCTTCAGTGCATTATATTTAAGATATGTAAGATATTTGATAAGAAGGAACAAGTAATTATTAATTTATATAAATTATTTAATTAAAACAGAAAACCAATAATATAAATTTAATAACTATAAACAATACAAAACGCGATTTTACAAATTTTTGCAATAATTATAACAATGTTATCACCAACAATATTGATGATGTAAACAACAATTATACCAATAGTGACAACCTTAACAACAACATCAACAACACTAACAACAACATCAACAACAACATCAACAACAACAACAACAGTGCCAACACTGTAGATACCAATGGTACAACACAGCGCCAATATCAGTTGCAATTGGAACATCATCAATAGTGACAACCCTAACAACAACATCAACAATAACAACAGCATCAACGATAACAACAACAACAGTGCCAACACTGTAGATACCAACGCCACAACCCACAGCGCAAATATCACTTGCAAATGGAACATCATCACAAGAAGCAAGAAGAACCACAGCGATGATAATAATAACGTTAACAATAATAATAATAATAACGTTTTTAAATATTGTAAAAATAATATTAATAATATGTAGTTATAAATAAATTAATTCGCGCTTCTTGACTGAACGTTGATATTTACCTTAACAACCATAATATAAACAATCTTGCCGTTAAAAAAATTTTTAAATCGCGTTTTATATTGTTTATAGTTATTAAATTTATATTAATTAAATAATTTATATAAATTAATAATTACTTGTTCCTTCTTATCAAATATCTTACATATCTTATATATAATGCACTGAAGATGAGTTATCTATAACTCGAAATAGCTATTTGCAAATTTATTTAATAAAAATTTAAAAAAACAATAAAATGTCTAATTTCTCTGAAATTAATAAAATAAAAAGAAATTAAAAAAGTGACAACGTAAAGAGTTGTGTAGATATGTGTAAAGTAGTGTTCATTTTTTGAAATGTAGCGATATCAACAGTTTGTTATCTATATATATATATATATATATATATATATATATATATATATATATATATATATATATATATATATATATATATATATATATATATATATAGGGTTATATATATATATATATATATATATAATTTATTAAAAAAATTACATGTGAATAATAGTGAAAAAAAATAAAGCTTAATGAAAAAATAAATTGTACCGTATTAGTGATTATCGATATATGTAATGAAACATAGTACAACAAATAACATTCATACATACAGACATGTGAAATTTTAATAAAATTAAAAATTAATAACTATACAACCAACCCTCTGTCCACCATTGAATTATATATAAGAATGGCTTTATAGTGTTGACCTTCTTCTCAAGGTCAGGAAGCTTAGAAGCAAACTTTTTTAGCACCAAATTGTCAATGGGTTTTTCAGTTTTCCAATCTATATTTAGCTTCTTTCCTGTTTATGTGCCACCGGCGGCATTCTTGTAAACGTTTTTTTGCTGCTAAAATCATTCTACGGCAGTTTTAATCGATTTTTAACTTAATAATTTAACTGAATTATGTAAAATTTTTGGAATCATTTATTATTTGATCCATTTTGATTTTATAAAGTTTATTTGTTTAAAAGTTTTAAAAATGTTACATTGTGCCAGGAGACACTAGGCCCAGACTAGTAGAAGAAAAGACAAAAGAGGTTTTGCTTTTTTGTATTTTTATTTTAAATTTTTGACTTTTTATTTTTTTTCACAATCGTTAATTAATGTTCAAATATTTTTTATATTGTTTTTATATTATGGGTTTATTATTATTATTAGGATGCCTTTGTAAAATGGCTTTTTGTCATAAGAAATACAGAATAAAAAGAGTTTCTTTATTTTAATTTATTGGGTATATATATATATATATATATTATATAATATATATATATATATATATATATATATATATATATATATATATATGATGACAAATTTTAAATGCAGCTCTTTACTTTCAAATTTAAATCATATTTAGACGTTTTGCTCAATGGATGCACATCTCATCAAGCAACAGCAAAGGCAATCAAAGTATTACAAGTCCAGAATCACAATGCTGCAGGCAACAATAAGAAAACTTATGAATGAATGTAATAAATTAAAAAATGAATTAGCTACATACAAAGGTTTTATGTTATGTAACCATAGCAAAATGAATTGAAATTTTGATTAATTTTTTGTTTTTTTTTTGCTTCTAGATAAAAAACTCATACCATTTAAAAAGAGTTAACAAAGTATATAATGATAGTTACAAGACCTTTTATATGCAGCTGGACTAATACTGCCACACTCGAGAACATTGAACAAGTAAAATTTTGTTAATAATGATATTCTGTAAACTAATATAGCTATATAAAAAAATATGTACTGCAAATGAAATATTGCAAATGCTCTTTAATCCTTGATTTGATATCAATAAAGCCTCAAATAATGTATAATAGGAAAATTGGTAGGTTTTTTAAAATATATTTTGTGAGTTTAAAATATAGCTTATTTTGGTAGCATATGCTAGTTTATTCCTTGTGTATTTTATTTATTTCTTGATTTTTTTTGATTCCCATTTCACCATAAACATTTGTTATCAATTTTTTTAATTTTATAGATGTTAAATGTTAAGCATAAATTATCAAACGCATTGTTTATTTGTGAAGATGGCTTTATTGGATATGTTAACTATGGAGATGGGAATGAGGACATAATAGTTGCTTCAGAGGTGTTGGTTTTTTATGTTGTTGGTCTGAGAGAAGCTTGGAGGCATTCAATAGCTTATTTTTATACAAATAAATTATCATTTCACAAGTTGAAAGATTTTATAGAGAAAGCCATTGATAAGTTACATAATGCTAGAGTTAGGGTAAACAACATTTGTTATTCTTAAAGATATGTTAAAATTTTTATACATTATATTTATTTTTTAGGGTTGTTTCACTGGTATTGGATGGGTTGGCCACTAACGTTTCGGCATGTGGATTGCTTCGATGCTCTTTTACATTTCCAAACATGCAAACAAGTTTCTTGTCCCCAACAACCGGCCAGAAAATATATATCATTTGATGCATGCCACATGCTGAAATTAATGAGGAATTTGTTTCATTCTTATATGATATTTTATAATAATAATCCAATCAAATGGAATCATATCGTAAACTTAGTTAATTATCAGCAACAAATCAAAATGAAACTAAAAAATAAATTAACCAAAAATCGTGTAAATTTTGAAAAGCATAAGAAGAAAGTTAAATAAGCATCTCGAGTCTTTAGTTGCTCTGCGGCTAAATCATCGGAACTCTTAAACGGATTTTATGTTTTTTTCCGACGTTTCTGAAACAATAGTGAAAAACATCAATGATCTTTTCCATATATTGAACAGCAAACTGATACAAGATAGAGAATGGAAGCAATACATTACAAAGAGCAACCTGACAGCCACTATAGATAAACTTTATGAAATGAAAGCCTACATACTAAGTTTGAAAAATTTAGATGGTGTTACATTTACAAAACTCAACGGTTTTTTTTATATATCTAAACTAAACTTAATTACAAATAATTTAAGAAAAATGTGCATAATTGGCTTGGACAATTGACATATCCCTCAAAAGGAGTATTAAAAGTAAAACGATACATTTATTTATTTTCTGGTAAAAACAATAAATTTTAATGATTTTCAGATCTGCCAAAAATCAGAAAGATTATTAAAAATAAGTAATTATTGTTTTAAGAAAAAACTTGTAATTGAAAGCAACATACTCCCACAATGTGTCAACGAAGATTTATTTAAGATGGAAAATCATTTCAATGATGTACAGAATGCAAACCACTATTATGAATTAATAAAAAAAATAATAACATCATGTACAACATTAACACGTTTTAACTTAACTAAAGAGTTTTCACTCAACATGCAGTTTTAATAAAAGTAAATTAAATAACAAAATGCAACGAAAATTATTCTATTTAAATTTATTAAATCAATTGTTTTATTGAATTTGTACAGTGTTTCTAATAGATTACATCAGAAGCAAATTCTACAACCTTAGTTTTATCTTTATATATATATATATATATATATATATATATATATATATATATACATATATATAATTTTCACTTTTCAAGATAGTTGAAAGATAAATTTATAATTATGTAAATCAAACATTTTGCAGTTATACAACAAATAAGACCGAAATCCAGAAATAAAAAAAGTAGGACTGATCAAACTACAAGTTAAATTAATTACTAATTATAGCAAGATAGATGTTTTATAATCAACAAGCAAGAAATATAACAATTTACACAAATATAAAAATATACATCTACATGATCTAGCACCTACCTTCAGGGTTATTTTATAAATAGTAATGTTAAACTAAAAATTATTAAACGTTACATACCTATTCTATTAATAATCAACAGTTGTTCGTTTTATAAAATTTAAATCAATAGCATAATGAATTTCATGTTAGCTTAATATTAATTAAACTATTATTTTTTTAATATATTAATGTCAATTACAGTTGAAATAGTTAAGTTAAAGAATTTGATATTAACAAATTATTATATAATTAATTTAATATATTAACAAATTATATATAGATCATAGCATTTAAAATTAAAACAGAAAAAAAAATTGTTTGCTTTTACTACCAAAAGAAATTTTAAAAACCTCCTCCTGTGATTAAATTTGGTTTGGGTATGTTATGTTGAAAGCAAATATTCCTTTGTATTGTAAGCTTTGGGGTGTTGAAAGATTCTAGTTTAGGACATATGCACAGGAATTACATCTTAATTTAAAAATTATTAGTTGATTAATTTATTTATAACAATATAAATATATATTTATATTATAAATTGATTATGAGTTATATTTTTTAAATATTAATAACATTTCATTTTTACAATAAAATTTTTACCGACTTCTTTTTGTTTTCTAGATTCTAATTTAATTTAGGAATGATTCTTACTCTAATCATCGTGATTCGTGGGTGCTGGGAAAATGAATGAAGAAATCTTTATTTCAGGAAAATGAGGATCGCTAACAAACTTATTATAAATCTTCGATTTTTCTGATGCATCAAAAAAATGGCAATATCTATTTAACGATTAAATACGGCACCTTATAAAACCTAAAACTTCACGGAATGTTGAAAACGAAATAAATTTTAACAAACGAGCTGAATGCAGATCGGCAAAGAGTCATTAACATAACTTCGGGAAGGCCAAGATTTTTTCTAATTATATCTCAGATTTTTCTAAAAATAAACCAAAATGCTCATGAATAATTAATTTTCAGGAACTTGCCCGTTGAAAAAAATTTTCAATGTTAAAACGATGGTAGGTCGCTTCCAGTTATATAATTCCATGCTGTCCACTTCCTCCGTCTCTCTGTCCCCTCTATCCACCTACCTGTCCCCTCCATCTGTGGCGAGGGCGGCGATGAGCGAAATGCTGACAGAACTGGCGCCAGCGTTTGTCCTACATGGATGTATAGATGAACCCAAAAGGCGCAGAGAAAGAGCGGACTAGGCAAGAAAACTCGCCGATCAACTGATGACATTCTAAGTGCCGGAGGTTGAGCCTGAAGACATCGCAGAAGACGATTCCAAAGGGGAGTCAACAGAAACACCACCACGAAGTAGCGACGAGTCGACCGAGTTGCTTGTCCAAACCTGGAAAAGCGAAGATACGCCAGAATCTTTAACAACCAGCCGGACATCGTTCCAGAACTCGTGAGGCTTGCTGACGAACTCTTTGATTTGTTCGCCGTAGGTAATCAGCCATCGATGGACCTGTTTGCTGGTCTGGACGAACAACCGACCGAAAACGATTAGCAACCGACGGAAACTCAATCGAGTACGACAGCCACAACAGAAAGAAAACGAAGGAAACCAACGAGGTGGGGACCGGAGCTAGAGGGATGGATTGTGGAAGTTCCTGAGTCTGGTAAAGATCTATAAGAGCAAACGTCGGGACGACGTTTTAGAGGATGGGGAGCTTAGTGAAGTTGTGACGATTGCGATGATAATGATTGCGCGATTGAAATATGCCGCCTGTATATTTTGTGAAATTGTGACGATTGCGATGATAATGATTGCATCTTTGAGGCGTGCCGCCTGTATATATCTATATATTTTAATAGACATTCTATGTATGTATATCTTGTTATTTGATATGCTATATATGCGACGCTGCTCTGTGCTGTTTTGTATATAGTGTCGTTACTCATATTTAATATTTTAATAATAAAAACACAATACTTCAAATAATTATCTTTAATGTTCATGCAAAAAGGCTTTGCAAATTTATTTACTTACAAACATACATACGTACGTACATAGTACATACATACACACACACGCGCACACATATATAAAGATATAGGTATTGGTAAGAATTGGAAAAATATAAACTGTAATCATTGGTTCGGGCATAATGCATGCAGAACCAATGGCACCGCTCTCATATTTAACCTAATGATGGACTACGTTGTGCGATTGGCTACAATAAAAAGCGCACACATACACGAGCGCACACCGCTTAAAATTCAATAGTAAAAAACAAACATCGATGCTACTCAGCTGAAAAATAGCACAACCAAAAAAGCCCATTGAATAAAACGCACATAGACATAAACGAACATTGTTGAATTTGAAGTCAATTAAATTTACTATCGAATTAATTATTAAAGATATCGTTAAGTTATTTTGTTAATTATTGTTATTTCATTTATCAAAACAGATTGCATATACAATACATACACAAACACTATACATACACAATACATACAAAAACACACACACGCATACTCAGGCTAACAGATCGTGTAATTTAATGATTTTTATAATGAAATAAAAGCGATGATATGATGGCAGACCAATAGCACCGGCCACCATGTCTGCGAGTAAAATTTTTTTTTGCCCAGCAATATCTTTCTGTTTCAGTCTCTGTGATACGACGCCCAAAGACATGTTTTAGTTTTTTGAGTCTTGAACACTCTGGAAAGCTGTTTTTTTTTGGTGGCTGATATATTGTTAGAAAGGTAATTTAATTCTACATCAGTGGCAGAAATCTATTTTGAGGCCGCAATTATGAATAGTGAAAAAAAATGTTTTTGTGATTCGATGCACAATGAAATGTGTTAGTTTTTCGGGTTTTGAACACCCTGGAAGGCTGTTTTTTTTCAGTGGCTGATATATTGTTAGAAAGGTAATTTAATTCTACATCAGTGGTAAAAATCTTTTTTTGAGGCTGCAATTAATAATATTTTTAATCGATTTTTATGTTCATCTTACTGTCAATTTCTTTATGTTGTTCAATACATCCCACAATCATTGTTCATACATACGTTACTTAAATATATAGAATACATACTTTTCATACATTTCAATGATCAGTTAAGGATTTATATAGCTATACAATTATTAGTAACATATATGAGCATATGCTGTGCATTAAGCAGATGGTCCTCTCTTTTTTCACGATCTCTCCGCGCACATAATATATACGTCGGTCGTTGTGGCTAAATTCAGTCTCATAATTTAGTCTCATAACACGAACATTGTTTCACAGATGATGTAAATGAAATCATTTTGCAAACAACATACAAATATTGTTCAAATGTTTGAAATTTATTAAAAGCACATTTCATTACTATTGATCTGGGAATGTAGCAGTTTTAAATTCATAATTTTGAAGTCAGTGACTGGTCCATGGAAAGAGAGATATTATTTTTTTTTAAATTGTTGGGATTATTTTTCCAATTAAAACAAAATAAAATTAATGGTTATGTTCAATGTGTTTTTTTTCAAAACATTAACAATATGTTTATAAACAATAAGCAATACAAATTCAATTAAATTAAAATGATTTTAAAAAAAATTGAATTGTTTATCTTAGCGTGAATTTTACTGGGAAGAACTTTGTAGATTAAAAGTGCATCTTTTTTTAATTTAATTTTTTTTATTTGTAAAAATTGTACTTTTTACTTCGAATTTCAATATGCATTTGATTAAAAAATAAAAACAAAATTTTCTAAAATTTTACTTTCACAAAAAAAATTTTCTTATTCGATTATTTTCATTTCTTTCAGCTGTTCATTCCCACGCCTCTAAGGACGCCATGGTTAATACAAATCTATTTGCCCATTATATCTATTCTATTTATATAGTAAGTCTATCTTAATGATAGTGGGTTTTTCTGGTATTGTCATGGTGATGTCAATCCCCGTTTTTTAATATGTGTGTTTTTAGTTAAGCGTTCTTTTAACTGTTGTTTCAAAAACTAGAGTGAAATCAGAGAAATGATTATCAGCGTAAATCAGAAGTTTCAGAAATAAGAAAAAAAAACAAAAGGCGTTGGCAAAGAAAAACCAGAAAACATGTTTTTTTTTATAATTAATCGATCATATTCGAATTTTCAAAAGGAATCGGAACTTGAAAAAACTGAAAATATAGATACATAGGTAAAAATCTGTTACTGTTGTTTCTTCTCAAATTGTAACGTTTGATGTTGAAGTTGAAAAAACATCCGTGGGAGAAAGCAGACATGAAGTCAAAAACTACAACAAAAGTAAAGTTTTAAATCAGAACCATTACATCCAAGGGGAGGCCTATTTACCAATATACAACACTTTCTTATGGGTTGAAGTATGGATATGCAAAGAATTTCAATTTTTAATTATTTTCGGTAATGTCGATTTAATTTTTTTAAATATACACTAAATAAAAGTAATTAATTACCACATTGAATAACAATTTAAAAAAAATTAAAATTTTAACATTTTAAATAAAAGCAATATTCCGAAATTAGTAAATATGAAAACTTGAAAAAACTGAAAATATAGCTACATAGCTAAAAATCTGTTACTGTTGTTTCTTCTCAAATTGTAACGTTTGATGTTGAAGTTGAAAAAACATCCGCGGGAGAAAGCAGACATGAAGTCAAAAACTACAACAAAAGTAAAGTTTTAAATCAGAACCGTTCCATCCAAGGGGAGGCCTATTTACCAATATACAACACTTTCTTATGGGTTGAAGTATGGATATGCAAAGAATTTCAATTTTTAATCATTTTCGGTAATGTCGATTTAATTTTTTTAAATATACACTAAATAAAAGTAATTAATTAACACATTGAATAACAATTAAAAAAAATAAAATTTTAACATTTTAAATAAAAGCAATATTCCGAAATTAGTAAATATACGATCGTAATTAACTCGAACGATAAAAAAATCACCTTCCAAATCCCCTCCGAAGTAAGCTCTTTGTTCGACCGTTAAAAGTGAGCTTTTTATTAATAATATTCTAATGTCAAATAATGTTAAAGTTCAGTTTATGTGTATTCTAGTTTTCAATTTTTTATTTTTTTTATAACTCTTTTTCTAAATATTTAAAAAAAATAAACAGTGGTCAGTGGATAGATTTTATTTTTTTGTAGACAATCCGCGTAAAGAAATATAATTATTAATATTATGAGTATTTATATAGCGCTCTTTATTTATAAACTAAAATTTCTTAAAAGCGTTTAACATAATATAATATTATATTATATAATTATATTGTTTTATGTATGATTTTGTTATGTATATATATCAATCAATCAATCAATCAATCAATCAATAGGAAACTTATATAGCGCCAATTAAATGTTCTCAAAGGCGCTTTCGTAATTATATAAACATTGAAAGTCTACAATACTATTAAAAAAAACACAACAACTTAACTAAAATTATCAAAGTTTAACAGTGAACAAATATGTTTTTAATTCTTTTTTAAATGTTCTAAGAGACAGTCCGGATGATCGCAATGACTGTGGCAAGCTGTTCCACACGGTCGGACCTGCAACAGAGATACTCCGTGCACCAATCTGCAAGTGTGAAACCGGTATTGTCAACAAATTCATATCATCTGATCGTAGATGAGACGACGCAGACCACTTTTTGAAAATTTGTTTACGAGATATTCTGGTGACATCCCAGTGATTTAATCACAAGTACAGCGATTTTGAAGGTTACTCTTTTGTCTATTGTCAACCAGTGTAGTTCCTCCAGAATGGGCATCACGTGATCAAACTTCATCCTACCAGTTACCAATTTTGCAGCCCTGTTCTGAATCGACTGAAAAAGAGCTATTGACCTTCTTGGAAGTTTATAAAACAGACTGTTGCATTAGTCAATTTGCGATGTTATAAAAGCACGAATCAGCGTCACCAGTGCCGATCTATCCAATGAATGTCTGATTCGATAAATGTTTCTTAAATAAATATTACTTGACGTATATATTTTTTAATGTAGTCTTTCATTGATAAATTGCTATCAAGTAAAACTCACAAATTTGATGCAGTTGCAGATAATGATATCTTTACATCTCCCATCTCAACAGAACAGAAATCTAGTTTTGACAACTGCTGCCACGTACCTACCTACCGGTAGCAACGGCGTTTTACATTCATTGAGCTTGAGCGACTTTGATGACATCCAATATCCAACCTCTTTCAAACACTGGACAAATTTATCAACCTCATCACGAAACGAACCTGGAGGACCAGTGACTAGAACCTGAATGTCGTCGGCAAACGCATGACAAGTGAATCCATGAGAGGAAATTATTTTGTTTATATCTGCTGTGTACAAAATAAAAAGAATTGGTCCCAGAACTGAGCCTTGTGGCACACCTGTTGTTACGAAGGCAACATCAGACACTGAATTGTTGAACGAAACCTGCTGTGTTCGGTTCGTCAAATACGACCTGAACCATTTATTAGCTGTGTCTCTAATACCATAATCGTTACGTAGTCTTGCCAGCAAAACATCATGGTTTACATAATCAAATGCTAAAACGATAACAACGATAAGTTCTGGACGTCCATTGCCGAAAACAAACCAGACAAAACATGTAACAATGCTGTTTCAGTAGAATGGAACTGCCTATAACCGGATTGATTACAAGGCAGTAGGTTATTTTCAGATAAAAACCTCAAGAAACTTTTAGCCACTAAACGTTCCATAATTTTCGAACTGAATGAAAGATTTGATATCGGTCTGTAATTATTAACATCAATTTTATCACAACCTGTTTTTTTCAAGATGGGGAGAACCACAGCATGTCTGAAAGAGGAGGGTAATTCACCTAATTGAAAACAGCAATTAACAAAGCTGGTCAGAAATTTGATGAAAAATTTCAAATACTTTTTTAAGATGTGAGTTGGAATGACATCCTGTGAACTTGTCTTACACAGGGAATTGATTATAATATCTTTCAATTCATCTTCAGTGACCATCGGGAAGGATGAAAACATAACAGCATTATGTTATGTAGCCCACCATCATCTGTCGATTGAGTAGAAACTTTGGTAGACTGAACAATTTTGCTAACTTTGTCCGTGAAAAGCTGCAACAATTGATGGGCTGTAATATATATATATTATATAGTACGTTTGAATTTAATAAATATAATAATAATAATAATAATGTATATACAGTTACACTTGAAAATGATTTACGATCAACCGTTAGAAAAATCGAAAAGTTAAATTAGAAGTTAATTAACGCCGAACGTGCTGTGATTTTCATTAATATATATATATATATATATATATATATATATATATCTATATATATATATATATAAATTCTACCGCATGTTTTGCGTTAATATGTTTGTAGTTCCTTATTCGATTTTTTTCACTAAAGTTTTTTTGTGAACGTTTAGTTTATTAAAATTCAAAATAAACTTATTTTCCGATTCATGCTGCAAATAAGGCCATATTTCGATTCCGAATGAATCATCTTCAGTGCTTCCTGTTGTTTATATAGGGAAATATTGACTTTGTCAAAATGAACTTAGATGGAAATTGACGTTGTAAAAATGAACTTTGGTGTCAGGTTTCTTTATTGGCTGGTCGTGTTCTCTGGTCTCCTTTTCTTCATCGATGCATGGTCGTGTTCTTTGGTCTCCTTTTCTTCATC